CCACTTTAGGGATACTTTATCACCCCCGAAGCTATAAAAAGTTGTGTCCATTGATTGGTCGACAATGTGAAAACATTTTCGGGCAAACGGAACCATTCCAAGTCAGAACCATTGTGCGGTAGGTTTAGCTGTCTCATTCAGCTGCTCTTTTTCTAGTTGTTTAGGCAACATACATACATCCACTAACTCACAAACACAGGACTTGTGGACAAGTTACTGGATACACGCAAAGTTACTTACTAATACGGTCAAAGGTAAAGTTGCAATTTTGGAGTACTTTCAGGCTCTATTCCTTGTAGTTACACTATATACTACTAAATTTCTTCTTTCCTAAACCTTTTTTTTGTGTATCTTGTATTTTAATTATCTCGATCTTCACCTCCTAACCTCCCTATCATCATGTTAAGTAATAAAGTCGCTAGTACACTTCACACCATAACAACCAGGAAAACTTGTAGAGGCATAAACCCCGGGGTCGATAGTGCATCAAAAATCCCAATATCGCGCGAACGGGTTGATAAAAAACCTATACAGTCAGGCGATAATACGCCTCTCAGTGTCCGTACTTAAGTTCACTCAACGCAATCACCGCAGAGGAAGCAAGACACCACTCCTATTCCTAAAACGACCAGTAAGCTAGTTAAGAATAGGAGAAAAAAGACGTTCCAAGGCTCAGTCGACACAGTCCAACGCCCAGAAACAGCATAGGGATGACTGTTTTGCGTGCTAATTACCAGTCGAAATCAGCGACCATGCTTTCGAATGCAGCTTCTTAAGTAAGTGGGTACACTGTCACTGCGACACTACAGTACCTAAACAGTACTAGGTATTCATGCTTAGTCACCCATGCCCATGGTTCTGGTACATTCGCCCTCGGTGTAGAGTATCTGAGGCATTGAAAGAGCCACAGGTCGCACCCAAATTCAGGCCTAAAGTCTAAACGACCAAACCAAAATCACCTGGCACTAAACCAGTAAAACAAGTGACCAAGGCTACCACAACCCTGCCTAACACACCGACAAAACTGCCGGTTGTTGTCAACCCCTCAGTATCTGCTAGCAATACAAAACAGTGGGTGAACGTGAAGAAGGGATATAGCAACACCCAAACTCACAATGAAGGCACTAAACTGATAGTTAACCTCGGTAAACTACCCCTGGCACAAGACACGATTGAACGCACTGCACAGGCAAAAACCTGCAGAGGCCAGTTCCCACAGAACTGGCCGATTCGGTTTGAATAACTTGTCTGAAAATCCGACAACGGCTGCTGCTGCAGAAATGCACCAGGTGCTGAGACAAACCATAAAGTGCCTCCATAGCAACGTAAGAGGAATAAGGGGTGAACTGTTAGAAATCAGGAATATGTGCTCTCAGATGGATCTGAAGATCATAAGCCTAACTGAAACATGGCTATCCCCCGACATTGCAGACGAAGAAGTGAGCTTGCCAGGCACGACACTCTTCCGAAGCGATAGGGAACACCAAACTGGAGGTGGAGTGGCTATATATATATATATATATATATATATATATATATATATATATATATATATATATATATATATATATATATATATACAGATGCCACGAAATACGTGATTGTAGGGATCTACCGACCTCCTTCTGGTACTATGGCACAGAAAAGGGAATTGATTGAGGTAATACTGCAATTGCCACTCCAGGGGTTTGATCAAATACTCATAGCTGGAGATTTCAATACCCCATCTTTAAATCTCAGCAGTCAGAGTATAACTCCCACTGGTTGGTTCCAAAGACAAATTGGTACAGCCATTAGAAGCTCTGGGCTGACTGAACACGTATGCAGTGCCACCAGATGGACTAAGGAAGGCAAGTCTTCAAACCGGGGTTATCTGCTGACAAATGACCAGCTTCTGGTTGAGGATGTTCACGTCCGCGCACCAATAGGGAGTAGTGACCATGGTAGAGTCTTGTTTAATATGGTCGTAAACGAAAAACTCACACAGGACGATAACGAGCCCTACGTTTGCTACAATAGGGCAAACTAAATACGCTTGAGAGAGGTCCTCCTACATGTCCCATGGCCATGGGAGTGGTGGAGTCTGACAGTAAATGATCACTGGCAAACAGTGAGAGATATCATCCAAAATGATGTTGTAGACAACGAACCTCAGTCACACCCCACACGCGGGACCAGAAGAACCTGCGTTAGGCGCGGCACTGAACGCTTGCTACAGGCGAAGAGGAGAGCCTGGCACAAGTGGTCTCCTTGATGGATTCCGATCGCAGTTCTTACTTGGCAATACCAATGTTTGAAGCGACAGGAGACAATTTCAGATGAAGCTAGCTGCCAAAATGGAGGCAAACCCGAAACACCTGTTTAGGTTCATGTCGAAAAGAAAACCAACTAATCAAGGGTTGTGTTCTCTAAAAGGACCAAATGTAGAAGACCTCACCAACACCACACCAACACCTCACCACCTCACAACACCAACTTTTCTGATCAATTAAAACAGGCGCCTACATGTTCAGAGTACTACGCCAGCCGATTGCCAGCTGACGGCTTAGGGAACATCCCTATCACTCCTGATCTAGTACTAAGGAAACTAAAATCTTTAAGCTCAGGTTAGTCACCAGGTTGTGACAAAATTCGCTCCATAGTCTTGCAAAAATGTGCAGAAGTCCTCTGTTCACCGATATGTGACCTGTTCAGGCATTCACTGAAGTCACACCAATTCCCAGCCAAACGGAAACAAGCTACTCTCTCTCCAATCTTCAAAGGAGGGGATAGAAATGACCCAGTCTGTTACAGATCAGTCGCATTACTAACAACACTGTCAATGGTTATGGAAGGGCTAGTGTACGAACAAATGAAGGAGTACATGGATAAGAATAAAATACTCCATGATGCTCAACACGTGTTTCGGAAAGGCAGGTCGTGTGCATCTGATCTCCTAATTGCATGGGACAGTTGGACATCCTGTTTGGACCGTAAAATACCAGTGCACGTAATATTTCTCGACCTTGTAAATCCTTTGACATAGTACCCCACGCACGCCTGATCAGAAAGGTTGTGGAAATGGGCTTCACTGACCCATTACTATCTTGGCTTGGAAACTACCTTGAGAATAGAAAATTTCGCGCTAAGGTAAACAGAGTGCAGGCGAGTTGGCGAGTATCCACATCAGGAGTTTCACAGTGGACCATCCTAGGCCAAACTCTCTTTCTGATATTTAATAACGACCTGTTAGGCTTAGTTAGCTCACCGGCATTGATCTACGCAGACTATGCGAAGAACTGGAGGTCCATTAGAAGCGAAGAGGACTCGACTGAGCTTCAAAAGGACCTTAAATCTATTGAGAAATGGGAAGTGAAAAATGGTGTAAACCTCAGCCAACCGAAGTGCCACGTCATACATCTCCTGCTTCAGATGACGCAAACGATCTATATCCTCAACGGAAGTCCGCTCCCTCATGTCTCTTCAGAGCGCGATCTCGGTTTAATAACCACAGAAAGCCTCCACACCAGTCCAAACTATGTAGGGGATTCAGCCAAGGCAAATGCGACTCTTCACTTCATGTGAAGACAACTTGGTGCTATCGCCCCGCAATTATTTTTAACCCTGTTTAAGACGTACGCGCGCCCACACTTGGAGTTTCACAACGTCATCGCACCCCTTCTGCTTAAAAGAGACATTAATCTCTTGGATCGAGTGCAGAGACGAGCAACCAAATGGGTGATAGGGTTGAAAAATAAACCATACGACGATAGACTCCAGCTTTTGGGATTATTTCCGCAGAGCTACAGGAGAATCAGAGGTGACCTGATTATGACGTACACCAAATTAAACACGCCAAACCATCTCAATGTGAGCATCTTGCCGATGCATCACCACCACTCCCCTCGAGGCAGTCTTCGGATGATTGCACATCAAAGAGCAAATACTCAGATTCGTGCACATATTTTCTCATTGCGAGTCGTCGCAACTTAGAATGCTCTCCCAGCCGAGGTAACCACAGCCCCCTCAGTGGACTGCTTTAAGATGAGACCTGATAATCACGTACTCACATACGGACTCTCATCTCCCTCTTGGACAAACTGTTCATGATGCATATCTTGAGACCTGCTAGTTGTTATCATTGACATCTCCTCAGATCACTTACTTAACCTATCTCGCCTATTTTATTTGTTTCCTCTCCCTTCCTAACACTACCGTTCTCTCTCACAATCTTCACTACCAATTAACAAACTAACTTCATCTATATATTACTCAGTTCTGAGATTTTATTCATATTAGCATCAGAATTTGATCCTTATTACCCTTATTACTCTCCAATTTGCAACTAACTGATCTCCGATCTGGTAATGTGATAGCTGTTTGTATTGAGAAACCCTACCGCCGTGAAACAAACATTTTCATTCAAATCCCGAGACATACAAACTCACAACCAACTGTCAACTGACTAGAATTAGATAGTCGAGTGGCTAGACTCCTATTCGTTGGACATTACCGAACTCCTGAAACCGTATCGAAAGAACAAGAATCGAGCGCAAAAAAATCAAATTGCTTTACACTAGCTCATCAAAACGATTTTGGATATTGGATAATTACATTTTGCACTGTCTAGCATTCTTTTTTTTTATCAAATACTATACTCTAAGTCATACTGTAAATACCCGAGTAAGCAAGTTGGCCTGTGCACAAAATATCGACCTAAGCATATGTTTGGAAACTGGAGTCTCAGATGTAGCAAAACGTATAAAATCAATCTCATTATTTATTTGGAATATTTCTTTTCTTTCTTACAGTCATTCCTGATGTGTTATTATGATTTTGATCAACTGCAACAACACAAAGTCAACGAGTCATATTCAGTTTTTCTATTAGAAATAAATACCACGTTGTTCTATAGAAAATACATTTTTTTTTTAAGTTAAACAAGCAATGAGCGAAATCTTTCAAATATTCTAAATTATTTGCATTTCAACTTTCTTTTATTACTAAACTAAAAAAAAAAACTCGTCAATTTTTTGTAGTAATAGCCAAAAATTTGAATGTTCTTGTTGAGAAATTTTCTGTAAAATAAAACAGTGTATTCATGTAGTTAGTCTACCATAAATGTTGATATTATCACAAATTATCATGTCAACCATCTACAGTGTGTGTGTGTGTGTGTTTCATAATTAACTGAGGAATAATTTACATCACAAAAAATAACTTCAAAACACTTGGTGATAATAGCAGTTTGTATATATTTCTACAATTATGAAATGTGATTAGATTATCGAAAATAGTCATAGTTATACAATGACCAAAAAAACTTATTTTCACTTACTTTCCATTCAATGTTCAGTTATTTATGAAGTTTTCAAAGTAACTTGAATCAGTGTGTTTACATCCTTGTATCACTGAACACCAATATTGTTCGTGTTTAATTCGTTTGACAAATCTTTCACAGAATTTAGGAATATGTTCTTTTTCAGGAAATCCTATAGAGAAAAAAAAGTGTTTCTTTATTTATGTATATCAATCTGATATAACTTATATTGTTTGTGAAGGTTACATTTGATTACTGTGTACAATACTGTTGATATCGTTTGATAATCAATCACACATTTACTGTGTCCAACTGAGTGAATATTTCAATTGTGAGGGTTCTATTTTGGACATTTTTGTTAACATGAAAATGAAGGTCGTTTGAATGAACTTGCTCTCTCTCTCTCAATAAACGATTCGGTTATAAGTAGAGAATCTGAGTGGTTGAATATGCCATTTTGATGATTATATACATACCTTGGTAAATGAAGTTTATTTACTGTTGATCAATATATGTATTGACCATCGAGAATGATTTACACTGACAACTCAGTTCATGCAACCATTTTCAACATCGTGAACATACCTACTGAGCCAGACACAGAATATTATCTTTCACTTGATTTCCCTTCCTTCAACAATCATTTATAATATGATGAATATTTAGCAAAGCATTCGAAAATTAACATGTAACCATAGGCTATATCAGTGTGCTGGATCTTTCCGCAATCTGAACACACGGTAGTTCAATATAACATTATGTGAACGAAAATTGGATGTGATTAGTCATGTTCATGATATTTTCTGACAAATGCTGTTTCACTGTGTTGTCAGGAACATCACGACATGGTTCTAAATATTCAGTAACGAGAAGTAATAAAAGTACCACTAGTACAAAATATAGCAGTTGGATCAGTTGACTGTTCGTCATTTAGTCAGCTGTCACAAGTCCTATTAGTCTTATTTAAAAAGAATTCTCAAGGTTCAAAAGTAAATACATTATTTTTAGGCATACTTGGCAATGGGTGGAACATCACTATTGTGTTATTTTTGATGTTGACATTGGGCACTTTCAGATGACTGCGCTGTTCTGTCGCAGTTGTGATATCTGGTTGGGTAAAAGAAGTAGACATTATTAGGGTTGTATTTTAGTGCAGAAACGCAATTTAAATAATCAACATATTGCTAGTACATTGATTATGATTGATTGTTACTACAGTTAATTGTGAAGAATTGTCCTTCAGTTGTGTGTGATTCTTAGATTTGAACACAGCATATGGTTATTTCACTATAATCTGACTATTTTGTCATTTGCAAGCAGTACAGTTTACATCCTTTTTGGCGAAATCAATATTTTTCTGCATAGATGCTTAGAATGATAAGCATAATATTGAAGTAAGGTATCAAAAAAATGAGAAGAATATATTGTGAAGGCTATGCTAGGTTATCAATCATCATTGTGTACACGAGATAAGTGAAATATTCATTCGTAAAAAGATGAAGCTAACGGTTATTTGCCTATAGAAGTAATCAATTCAAGTGAAAAGCTGATAACAGTTTGCACTAATTTAGTTCTCTATCAGTAGACGCGTCTTGTGTTCGAGTTTGATTGAAATACAATTGCATTTTAGATAGCTGTTTATGTTTGGAATACGGACAAAGATTTTGTGACATACAGCAACACAGAATTCGATTTCCTTTTCAAATATCATTTCCATGGGATCATTGGGAGTTTTTTTTTGGTTTGTTGGTTAAGTGTGATATAGTCGGTAGCTATTCAGTCTGTCAGTCATATGCAACGTAGAACTTGGTACGTAAGTACATCAGTTCATGTTGCCATACCACATCAGCATAGAGATGTAATTGTCAATTCAAATCCAATAGTAGTAGAGGTAGTAAGGGAATTAGAAGTAATCGGAGAGGTTAGAATTAGAAGATACTATTCAAGAAGTATGATTCAGTGAGAAAAGTTTAGAGAGTCGAAACTAGAGGTGTTGAAGAATCCAGAAGATTAGGATTTGAGAGAACACAGAGAATAAATGCACTGGCGCCATTGCGAACGATTTTGAGCCATGTCATTCAAGGTCTCTAACCATCGATTATTATCATCTCGCGGACATCAACCAGGTAGTCGACAATTACCGACATGGCTAAGTCCACTAGTCAATGACTTCATGGATTTCTGCCATGTTTTGGTCTGGCCGGTAGCGATTGAAAACAAGGTTTCCGAATTTCCTTAAACACAAAGTGATTTAAAAAACTAGGCATTACAAAGTTCATCTTGAATCATTTTTATACACAAAAGTAAACTGAGTCTGCTGGTCAAGTTAATCGATCATATGGACAAGAGGATAATATATACACAGTCAAAATAAAATTACAAGTAACTGTAAAACAAGGTCACTGTATAGTAAAACAAAAAGAAAAGATCCGTTTGAAGGTTTCTTACTTCGTCTTTTATCAAAGCAAAAAAATTGGTGGTAAATGGATGAATCGATTCGACGAAAATTGTTTGGATCAGGTATCTAAAATTAGGTGAAGATCTGTCAGTAATCGACCTACCATATAAAATGAATTTTACTGAATATGTGTAGCATTTTTTTTTCCGGCATCAAACATAAACGGCATTAACAGATTTCATTTGACAAACACGAAATAACATATATGTTTCCGGAGTGTATGTAACTAAAACTTACCAAGTTACTCAGTAAAATAGGGAAAACCATATCGTAAATCGTGTTAATTTGCAAAATATCAGTCCATCATATCGAACTGGACTGTTCCTGTTGCAAACAACATCAGCATCCATTGTCACTCACTATTCATGCATTTCATACAAATTCCATTGTGTTCTTCTAACTCTTCCTTTCTTGATCTTCCCCCATCTGCTGTTGACTGACACTCACGTCATATACTACTTATAAGTAGTTCACACCACAGTATTATCAACGTAATACTTTCAAATAATAAAATGCCACCATTATTTCTACTACATATTTTTTTATGTTAAACTGACAAAACCGGATTTATCAGTAGTTGAATGAAATTGTGTTACAATGATGAAAATATGTCACTGGACAAATGTTTACATACAAAAGATAAAGATCATGATGTCTTTCAACTGTTTACAATTCATTTGAAATTATTATACACATTACATTACACACATTTCTACAATTGAAAAATATCTGGAACTCCAAACAACTTTCAACCAAAACCAAAATCACGATTTTCAATACAAATGTAAAGACAGTTCTACTGTATGGAGCGAAAACATGGAGAACTACCAAAGCCATCATCCAGAAGATACAAGTGTTTATTAACAGTTGTCTACGCAAAATACTTCAGATTCGTTGACCAGACACCATCAGCAACAACGAACTGTGGGAGAGAACGGACCAGGTTCCAGTGGATGAGGAATTCAAGAATAAGTGGTGGTTGTGGATAGGACACACACTACGAAAAGCACCTAACTGCGTCACAAGACAAGCCCTCACATGGAACTCTCAAGGCAAAAGGAAAAGAGGAAGGCCAAAGAATACATTACGCCGAGAAATAGAGAAAGATATGAGAGGAATGAACATGTAGTGTGCCAATAACTGCGTGTTCTTAAGCTCGGTTTATAAATCAGAAGATGAACTCGTATTGATGAATACGTTTATTCGAGGCACACCACAAAGCGAAGCGGAGAAGGCTAAGAGCCAACTCTTTGGATTACAATGCGAGCGAATGAGTGAAGCGAATAGGAGAAGGCTGTTGAGCCAACTCAAAGAGATAGAACATAACTAAGAATATATAGTCAGATAAGAATAAGACAGACATATGACAAGCGAAATAGGTATGCACACATATGAATAAAAGCGACGAATGATTGACAAGGTCAAAAGCAAGCGATACAAATCATGTGAGTTCATGAGGATGTTCAGAGATTAACATTAAAGCGAAAAGTATGAATATGCGTGCAAGTGTAAACAATGTTCAATCATACCAGCGCATACAAACCACACAATAATAAAAGCCAATGGTACATATAAGTTATTGTTTTACAAATGGCTTGGTTAAATAAATTAATCGAAAGGGCTTAACCAAGTTAGATGTGAGAGGACTGAAATATATGTGGAGGCACTACAAACAAACATTGGACAGAACTGGAGAGAGAAGCCCAGGACAGAGTTGGTTGGAGAATACTGGTGGGCGGCCTACGCTCCATTGGGGGTAACAGGCGTAAGTAAGTAAGTAAGTAAGTAATTACACTACACAATATCAATGATAATTAATTCCAAAAAAGAAACTGAAATTATTTCAAATAGTCTCATTATTTTTATTGAAAATGTTAACTTACAGTTATATAGTGAAAAAATATACTACCATTTCGAAAGAAACGACATTGTACAATATCTGTAAAGTGTGTAAATTCAAAAACAATCATTCTATAAATCAATGCGATAAATGAAAGTTAAAGAAAAAAATTATCATTTATGTGTTTTTAACAGTGTACACATGTTGTTGAAGCAGTTATAGTTCATTGAATATCAATATATATATATTCAGTTTTCTTCAAAACGCATATAAATCAATGCAAAGTGAATGAAACGGGCATATATATTGTTCAAAGTGTGAGTTGAAAAGCTATTTCGATCACACAATCATTTCCCGATTGAAACTTAACATTATCAGGCATTATATGATGGATTATTTGACAGTGAGGTTTTTTGTTTAGTAAGAGGAGACAGTAAATGTTTCTCACACAATTGACTATTACTTCACTAATGGCATGCACGTTTGATGGACGGCCATTGTTTTCGACCATGGAGGTATCATGCTTCAAATTTACTAATCTCTGGCACTCTGCAGTTATTTCTTGAAGCGAGATTTTTGAGCACTGCTCAACTTTACTTAGGATTCTGGTTCTTATATCTGCATCTTCGTGAGATTGTAAGCTGCACACAAACACGAGGCACTTAAACTGATCTTCCGTCATTGATGATAATTTAAACCGTTCGCATTCACGATTTACTAAGCCGGCGTGGTTTACCCAGTCATCTTCATTTGACTTGGTTATTTTGAGGCATTGATAACGAATATTTAAGAGAGATGAATGTTCAGAGAAGATTTGCGACAGCGTTTCAATTGTAACGTCAAAAGAGAAATCTCGTGGGTTCTTTGGGAGGATGAAATTACTAAAACGTTCGTGTTCGATTGTGCCGAGATTTCTCAAGAGGATTCTGACTTTGGTGGCGTCATCAAGTTTGTTGAGGTCGACCTTGAACAAATCCTCATACTTCTTGAACCAAGACTCGAAAGTCACACCCGCAAGGCCATCAAAATGGAATTCATGAATGGAATTAACTATCGAGTCTGTATGTGGATTATATGAGTCGTCGGTAGGACCTCTGTGATTCAGATTCATTTGTTTCATTAAAAACTACAACATACGTTCCTGGAACTGTTCAAATCGTTTTGCTTGACGTTCCAGTAAAGATTCTATCTGTTCAAGGGTAATCGACATTGTGAATTGTAAGCCCCGTCGCCACTTTTATGTTTTGTGGATCTGGTTTTCTCCCGTCGCCACTTTTATGTTTTGTGGATCTGGTTTTCTCCCGTCGCCACTTTTATGTTTTGTACTTGATGTAACGCCAAACCACTGTACTAATGACACACCGAACGTTAGACCCCTCCGTTCAAAAAATAAGAAGACGGAAGACGTTGGAGAACGCTTATTGTCAGCATCAAAAATATACGATCAAACATGCGTATTTATACAATTATATAAATGTCGTTAAATATTTTGAACATGAATCAAATAGTTCATCATGAACATTAATCATATAGTTCATCATTAATGAAATAGTTTATCATGAACATTAATCAAATAGTTCATCAATCCACAATATGCGTGGCTTTCTTCTCGATTGGCTATCCCAACAGTAACGATTTCTTAGGTTGAATGTTCAAGATCTAGAAATAACACTGTCCTGATAAGATGTTTTCAGAAAACACTGAACGTGAACGTTGTACGCGAGCAAATAAGTAAATGTTAGGAACCGGCTCAGTGGTCTATCGGTTAGGGCGTTCGCGCACAATACCGAAGGTCCTGGGTTCCAATCCTGCGGGATGCAGGAGTCGTGGATGCGCACTGCTGAGGAGTCCCATACCAGGACGAAACGGCCGTCTTTCAGTGCTTCCAGGTTTCTAATGGTGATAGTCTAACATTGATCGATTCATGGTTTCAAAAAATGTGTAACTTAACAATCTTCACAACCCCGTAATGCAAATAGATAATAATTTGATTAATTAAACAAGTATATCAAAGGTGAATTAGATTGTTAGATAAATCATATATTGTAGAAATGTATATAAAATTAAGTAGTAATATTGCTTACACTTAAGGCCTGAACGATTAGTTGCTTCCCGTTTCCATCTGATAAGGATCTCGTCAGCTTTAATCATGAAAATAAATTTGGTAAATATACACACGGGCATATCCATTTTTTTTGTTTATATAAGAACAAACCTGAAAACTACTCATTGTAGTTTCTATAAGGAAACTCAGATGAACGGCTGCAATTATGTTCACGTGAAAATTTTTCTATTCATAGCGAAAATTATTATGACAATATTTTCGTATTGGTGTACTGTGAACTGTTGGGGATGTTAGATCCCCAAAATTCGCTTGATAATGCCGTATTTTCGTTTTCACGTTTTGCCAGCGTGGGCTGATCAGATGACCTTGAGTAGAAGCGAGAGTGGTCAGAAGGGTTGGTCGAGTTATGTACGAAGTAGAGGTAGGAGGTGATAAATGGTCACGTCATCGGAATCAGATACGCAGACGGCTAGCCCCAGATCGCCCGTCAAGAGCAGAAAGCTTTCCCCTTGACATCTTGCTTTATACCTTCAACCTACCGAGAGCCCCGCCACGAGAAGAAACTCAGCAGCAAGCTGTTCTTCGTTCCTGAAGGTATCCCCTCAGACAGCGGCGAACAATAGTCAAGATGCAAGTCGACCCCAAGAGAACACGCTATTAAAAAGGGGAGGAGTGTTGGGGATGTTAGATCCCCGAAATTCGCTTGATAATGCCGTATTTTGGTTTTCACGTTTTGCCAGCATGGGCTGATCAGATGACCTTGAGGTTTCAATTCCCACCAGGAAAATCCATGGCTGTCATTGGCTGCTGTGTATTTTAATGTGCTATTTTCGTAACTGTCTCAAGGATGTTCTTATGTTGTATAAATAAACGAGAGTTGTATGCTTGATTGTACTGTGATTGCTGGGTGTTTGTAGAATATACTTTCTACGCTTACAAAGACTTTTCACTTCAGCCTCGGATTCAAGGTAGCCTCCTTGGAAGCTGGTAAAGTCTCGTTCGCGTTTATCGACTAATGTAAACTCGTATTAGCCTCAAGCATACTAAGTGACGAACTTATCAGAACTTTCAATTTTTCTTATGAGAAAGGGTTTTGTTACTCTTTTCAAGTTCATCATTATCATTCTGAATTTACCAGTTGCATCATTGAGAAATGTTAAAGAAAAAAATAAGACATTCTCTCTTTCATATAGAAGGACATACTTGTATTAGTAAGTGCAAACACACTTTTTTTTTGGCAATTTGCCGAATAGACATAAAAATAAAGCAAAAAGAATAATGTTACTTATCACAGTACAGATTTACTCACTACTAGTTGAAATATTTATTTCGAATTTACCAATCATATCAACTTCATAAGGAGTTAGTGTTATTCTATCTTGTGAATGTCGTAAAATGATTTGACCTATTTTTAAATTATGAAAACAAATACAAAATAATTTATTACACATTTGAAATCATTAATCAATCATTGTTAGACCACCATTAGAAACCTGGAAGCACTGGACGGCCGTTTCGTCCTGGTATGGGACTCATCAGCAGTGATTGATGATTTCAAATGTGTAAAAAATCGTAAACCTCCAAAACTGTGCCCCAAAATAATTTATATCATATGATGAATTAATAAGATAGAGCAGATATAAGTTTAAAAATGAAAAAGTCTAGGTAATAACAGTTGAGCATAAAAATTAATCTGTTCTACTGGTAAACAACATTCGTCAATGAATTTTTCTCTTATTCAAAGCACCCTCAGTGAAAAAAGCCCAAGGAACACATTACACCGAAAAAATAGAGAAAGACATGAGAAGAATGAACAAAAATTGGATAGAATTGGAAAGGGAAGCTCAGGACAGAGTTGGTTGGAGTAAACTGGTGGGTGGCCTATGCTTCATCGGGGGTAACAGGCGTAATTAAGTAAGTAAGTAAGTAAGTAAGTAAGTCTTATTCAAAGCATCGTGTTGCCTTGATAGTTCTCACACATGCTAAAAATCTCCATTCCTAGGTAACTCGATCAGTAACCTTTCTTTTAAGGCAATCTGTGCTTTCAATTTTTTCTAAGAACTTTGCAGAAAAGAGCGTCCAGTGATGAACAATTATTCAAGATCGACAGTGGAACAATATGAAGACTGGGTGGGGATATTGAAATGTTCAAAGATAGTATGAAAATAATTTCTTTAAGACATACAAATTCCCAATCAACAAATATAACCAACTATGAAATCACATTTCTTTGCAATAAGTTCGATTCCACAAACAAAAAATTCACTTACCTTTCTCACCTAATTCTAACTGATTGTAGCTTGCATCATAAACTGTTATATTAAATGGTGGGTTAATTATCTAGAAATATTATTTGGAATTCACAATTCACATTCTTGGCATAATATTTAAAAACAAACCTTGGGAAGATCGTTAAAACTTTTAAAATTTTTGGTACTGTCATAATCATATTGATCAAATTGGATTATCATAGAGTAATAGTAGCCTTGAAACTATATATATATATATATATATATAAACGCATTAGTATACAACAGAAATCTGACCTGTTTTTCTTTTTCAGTTTTAATAATCTCTTTCAAATGATCAAGTCTATATTTGTCAATTGTATCAATATTATCACAGAGATTTTGACATTTCAAATAATTTTGAAATGTAATTCCGAATAAATAAATTAACATCAATCGACCCAGTGGACTAGACATTCTTAAAAGACTGAAATATAATTAAGCTTAATGTTCAAAGTTACATTATTCACGATCAGATTTCAAAAATGGACACTAAAATTCCATGTCTGTTTAAATAGATTTTTAAACAAATTTTTTGATTGGTTTATGAAAACTGACCAATGAGAGTTCAATTGATTTGAAAAAAGAAACTGTGTCTTTATTGATTGATTGAAAGTGAAAGCAGTGGAATCCAGTATACTACTTACACACACACACACATTCTTTTGATTTGTCCAGGGAATTAAATAGATTTATAGTCTCGGAAATGATAAAAAAAATTTTAAAGTTTCAAGCTAATGTTTTCATTGTTTTATGCTAGCTTCTTATATGCTATATTACTTACTTACTTACGCCTGTTACCCACAATGGAGCATACGCCAACCACCAGTTTCGGCCAACCAACTCTGTCCTGGGCTTCTCTCTCCAGTTCTGTCCAATGTTTGTTCATTACTCTCATATCTTTCTCTATTTCTCGGCGTAATGTATTCTTTAGCCTTCCTCTTTTCCTTTTGCCTTGAGAGTTCCATGTGAGGGCTTGTCTTGTGACTCAGTTAGGTGCTTTTCGTAGTGTGTCCTATCCACTTCCACCGCTTCTTCCTGATTCCCTCTTTCACTGGAACCTGGTTCGTTCTCTCCCACAGTTCGTTGTTGCTGATGGTGTCTGGCCAACGAATACGAAGTATTTTGCGTAGACAGCTGTTAATAAACACTTGTATCCTCTGGATGATGACTTTGATAGTTTTCTAAGTTTCCGCCCCATACAGTAGAACTGTCTTTACATTTGTATTGAAAATCGTGATTTTGGTTTTGGTTAAAAGTTGTTTGGAGTTCCAGATATTTTTCAACTGTAGAAATGCAGCCCTTGCTTTGCCAATCCGCGCCCTCATATCTGCATCCGTTATATGCTATATAAGACTTGGAAATTCATTTAGGAATTCTATTTCCCATTTACTGAATTCCCGAACTAATGACTAGTCTTATTGGATGTCGTCATTTGTTGCATAATCTATTTGGTAATATTTCAAGTGTGTGGATAATTATTACCTCACAACAACGAACTCTCTGTTTGAAACTCATTCAGTCAATTTTTTCTGAAGACTAATGACTTATGACTAATGACGATTCACAAACATCGATAACCAGCTTAACATGGAACTAAGCGTTTAAGAGTTGTTTCAAGAGGACAGTATTACAGTAGTTTAGTAAGGAATATGATATGCATCTCAGAGTAGTTTGCAATTCACTAATAAATAGTATATGTTTTTGTTTTTAGGGAAATTCAAATCGATTTTACACAATTTTTGTTTATGTTCAAGTCACTGGAATGTTGCATTTTCCCAAAATAATAAGGATTATTACCTGGTTTTCTTTCATCACTTGTTATCGTAAATAATGTGCAACGTTTCAAACTACCACATTTCAACAATTGATTATTGATTCAAACTGAAATTTAAAAATCCGAATTCATAAATCCGTCAAGTTGTATATATCGACATTGGACAAATATTAGTCGTTAGGTGTGAATATCTAGGAATGATAGAGATAACTGAGTATTGAATAGTTATACATGGTTTCACGTTTCGAAAAACAAACACCTCATCTTACTTCATGGAGGAAAAGTTAAAAGAACAAACTAGACATCCGATCATATACCTAGGTAAAACCACTGCTTAGGTACAGCAGCCTCAACTAAATTCTCTTTATAGAGTCATTTCGACAGTATTCACACACACACACACAGGACTTGTGTGAAAGATACTTGATCCTTGCGAGAGTGCTCTTTGAACGGTCAAAGGTATGGCTGAAGTTTCGAGGTTTCAGGTTCCACTGTTGCTTGGTATATGTACACATAATTTAATTTTTCTATTTTTTATACATCAGAACCTATTTCTAGAATATACCCCCGCGAATCAAATTATCATTCAGTTTACTCTTCATTATGATGAACATACACATTAATAAGGCGGATACCAGTCCCTATGATATAACAACCGGTGTAAGCAGTAGAGAGGTGGAGTTACTTACCAGCAAACATTGATGGTGTGGACTATGACTTCAAACCACCCATGTTCGTGGGGCAGAACATTTTGTTTGCTTTCGGCTCTTTTGATTGATGAGACGACTAATCAGTAATACTGAGGTTGCTCTTATACGCTCTCTACTTTAGAAGGCTCGTGTTTCCAAAACTATGCTGAGGTCGATATTCTGCCAAGTCACCCGCAACATGCTTACTCAGGCGCTTACAGTATGATTTAGATGTTGGCATTCAATAAAAAAACAGTTAGATAGTGAAAAATTTTCAACATCAATGTTTTCTTTTTACAAACTCTACTCTTTTAACTGAAATTTCGATTTCAACGTACATAAATCCAGCTTCTTACTTCAACTTATCTTCCATCCACTTGACAGTCCACAACTCTTCCTTCTTTATTGCTGTACTCCTTCGTTTGTGGGTTATATTCTTATATTTCCATAATTTACTTTAATTTTAGTGGTCAGTATGAATTTTACCCTGACTTATAACTGTATTGACTACTTCAACATGACAGGTTAAATAGTGATTTGGTTATTTATATGCACTTGCCACGCTGCTGCCTTTTTCATTTCTCTCTTTCCTACCTTTTCAGAACCCCATTCACAGTGGGAAATCCATGGCGCATTTAGGGAACAGGTCTGGATTGTAATCGACTTCTGCAAAAACTGCAACATGTGCTGCCACATAAAATCTCCCAAGCAAACACCACGTGCACCGTTAATGCTGATCAAAACAACTGGACCGCACAAGCGAGTTGGCATCGATATTATGGGACCATTGACGACGACAAAAAAGAAAGGAAATCACTACATATTAGTTATGGTAGATTATTTCACTAAATGGTGCGAAGCAGTACCCATTCTTCAACAAGATGCCCTAACTGTCTCACGGGCTTTCATTGATCATTAAGTTTCCCGTTATGCTAAGCTCACTCTCACTCCACTCCGACCAAGGTCCGGCCTTTGAAAGTCACCTCATTGCCGAAATATGCAAGTTATTAGCAATAAAGAGGACGCACACTACGGCATATCGCCCAGAAGGTAACGGTCTAGTTGAAAGGACAAATAGAACCATTCAAGCTATTTTACAATCGTTCATCAGCAGATCGTCATCTGAGATGTGGGACGAGGTGTTTCCTCAATTCATTCTAGCTTATCGAACATCGGTACTACATGGGTCTACGGGATTCTCACCTGCTATTCTACTACTCAGGCATGAACAACGCCTCCCGGTTGAGATACAGTCGCCTTTACTACCGTACGAAGAACGAGAACACGTACTACATCCGCACTCTGCGTAACCACCTGGCTGATGCATACCGTTTATTCAACGTCAACTCGCTTAGGGCTAGTGGCCATCAAAGAGATATGTGTGATCGTCAGGTGCAAGGACCAGTGTATAAAGATGGAGACCGTGTCTGTTTACGCCGCCTCATGACATTAATAGGGAGTTGCAGTAAATTCCACCAGCCTTGGCATGGCCCCTTCAAAATCGGCCTCATCAGATTCCCTACGATGGTTGTGTTACGTAATCCGCAACGACATCAGGACGATGCAATAACGGTGCACTACAATCATATAAAGCCAGATCGGACAACAGTACCTGCTGATGCTCGGTTCACAGATCCACCACCCGCTACTAGTTTTTATGAGATACCGGCTGAAGGAGGAGCAGCATATTCTTGTCCGAGACCGGAAACAGAGGACAGTGCCTCATTAGGAGAGTGGGTGGTGTAACGGAGTCAAAATCACTATGTATGATGTTGCTAACTCGTTCTGTTTCCTTTCTGTTTCAGGGATATCAAACACAAACGCTTTGGAAGCTGAAGAATAAGCCTTGAGTGCTCTAAACTTACAGAGTGGGTGGTGTAACGGAGTCAAAATCACTATGTATGATGTTGCTGACTCGTTCTGTTTTCTTTCTGTTTCAGGGAGATCAAACAAAAACGCTTTGGAAGCTGAAGAACAAGCCCTGAGTGCTCTAAACTTACAGAATGATTCATAAGACATTGGTACACTACCCGCCCCATTCCTGTAAAAACCCCGCGTATTTGATTTTCAAATAAACGAATGCCGTTCTCTTCAATTCGGCAGTATTGGCCGGTGGTATCCGAAGTAGGTGTTCTCGTAATGGTCCATGCGCCAGCCCTTCGACACAACGGAAGCGTACCAATTTGTCCCGTCCAGGGGCATCCAAATGAGGAAAAGCCTGCACTGCAATTAGTTTTAAGGCGTCGAGTTATTCTACCGGGCTTTCTCCTGGTTTCTGGTGATGAGACAAAAACTGCATAGTCACATCCTGTCTATCGACAGATAGGGAAAAACAATCGTCCAATATCTTCCAGTTGTGGGGTGAAGAATTGGCTGTTGAGAAGCCATATGCTGCAGTTTACTTTACCGCATCATCGATCAAGAACGATATAAGGTAATTAATATGTTTGACACCAGCATTGCTGAAGATATGCTTCCACCCTGAATTTCCAAGCAGCATGATCTGACGAGTTTTCCAGAAGTGGTGGCTGACGCGGGCTAATCCTGGTTGTTGCCCTGGTTGGTAGCACCCGGGATTCATCTGAGGTTGCTTTAAATTTTCCTGTAGGCACCTCCATCACCAATTGTAACACGCGTAATTAGCAGTCACGGAATGGCAGAGAGGATCTAAAATCACACCACACAAAGTTAGTTCAAAATCTCACACCAAGAGAGTGTAGTGCCTCCACATATATTCCAGTTCTCTTACATCTAACTTGGTTAAGCCCTTTTGATTAATTTATTTAGCCAAGCCATTTGTATAGAAACAACTCTTATGTACCATCGGTATTTTTTATTATCTGGTTTGTATGAGCTTGTACGACTGAGCATTGCTTACACCTACGCGCTTACTCATCCTTTTCGCTTTAATGTTAATCTCTTAATATTCCCATGAACTCACATGATTTGTATCGCTTGCTT